TTTTAGAGGGAGCCTGAAAATTGAAGGGCCATAAGGGAAAAAGGCTAAGTACAACCTTTTCCCCGATGTATCTGCCCTGGAAAAAGGGTCCAGATACATCAAACTGTAAGGGGCTGTAACTTTCCAACCCCTTATCAAAAGAATAAAAGAAAAACACTTTTGGAAATGGCAGGAGACCAGCTATCTCGCCACATTCCGAGATAGCTGGGAAAAATAAAAAGAAAAATAAAATAGGGCAGTTAAAGAAACTGCCCCACACTAAGGCTGTGGCTGTGGTGCGGCCACAGTCATCCCTGGATCTAGGCCAGATCAAGGGCTCTCTGTGAGCCCGCGTTTTTGCTTGGGGGCTGGAGTGACGTCCARCTCCTCTCAGCCAATATAAAAAAGGCATCTGCCTCCCAGCTGCCACACAAAGCACTCGTGATGCCAGTGTGTGACGAGCACACTTGAGTGTTGTGGCTGCTGGAGCTGCTGATGAGGCAACGTGAGGAGGAGCTGGAGGACTGCAGAGGAGCACCAGGAGGAGGACTGGGCAGCCATAGCCAAGGCAGGGAGCACTCTGCTTCCCTCCCCTTTGGCTGGTGCTGGTCCCACGGGACAGGCCCAGTGGCACTGTGGTACTACGGCAGGCGGCACAGGTTATTACTGCGGTAGTACAAGAATGCTGCCAAAAATTTGTTGCGGCGGCACCAACTTTTCACTCCGGTAGTGGGGAAATGCTGTCAAAATTGTGCTGCGGCGGCACCAACKTTTACTGCCGTAGTGGGGAAATGCTGCCGAAATTCTGCAGCAGYGGCACCGGCTTTTTAYTGCGGTAGTACGAAAGTGCTGCCGAAATTCTGCAGCGGCGGCACCGACTTTTTCAACCGTGGTGCGAGAGCGCTGCCGGATTTTMGAGGCGGCAGTTCGGGTTTTATCGGCGGGGGTGCGGTAGCGCTGACGGAATCTTTTTCGACGGTGACTCTGGTTTAACCAGCCGTGGTGCGGGAGTGCTGCAAAAATTTTACGGCGGGAAGCGAGGTTACAGGAGGTAATATTTCTACATTGAGCGACATTTAAACCTTGGTATAGGGGAGGTGCCGCTGGAGTGGGGGATCAGAAGTGGCGTGAGCTTTGATGGCGTGGTGACGCAGTGGCAGTGAAAATCAGTGGCGGCAATACTTATTGAAAGATAGTGAGGAGGCGTTGTGGCAGGTGATTGTGGTAAAAGGAGGAGTGTGGATTATTTGTCGACGACTGAAGACAACTGTCAYTGACAGAGGAGCATAATTTTTATACGGCTTTTCTTGAGAGGGCCGCTATTATCTTCAGTCCAACTTCACTCAAGGTCAGTCAGTTGAATTGACTCAGTTCMCTTCACACCTGAGTGAGCCCACACTTGCCTTGACCTGTTTTACTTAATGTTCATTGRAAACGGAAAGAGAATGTGTGCGTTTGCGTGTATGACARGGAATCTGACAATAGAAAATGATTGCATSGTGGTCTGTGTGTCGTTGGGTTTTAACTGCAGGTACGGCAAATGGACTGGAATGGATAAGGGTGATGAYGGTRAAATAATGGTTGACTTTTCATCTTTGTGCTTATGTTCTATTTATAAATAAAAGAAAAAGAAGACGACGAGAAATGAAGCGAGCATAAGAAAGAGAAAATTGAACTTGGTTTAGACTTATTCCTAAGGTTACCCATTCTTTCCCGAATAAACCTCTTCCATCTATGCCTRTCAGTCTGAATGATACTATCTTTCTACGATTCCTCTTTCTTCGTCTAAGTTTACTTTGACGCTAGGCGGCAAGACTCTACTTGTCTCCCGTGTAGGCGTTTTCCCTTTTTCTAGGAGGTATCTGGGGCGGGGGTTCGTTGCCTTAGGGGCCGRCCCTGTTATCGACTYAGAGTGGACCGCTTTGCGGGGGGGKACTATGCCGGTTCGGTGGAGACGGCCCGACTTATGAGATCCGAGCTTTGTACTCGGGCGAGGAGAAGGAGTGTCCCTGACCACCTCTTAGGGTAATGGAAAAGGCATACACACTGAAGAAAATTATTTCTTGACGCCTTGCGAAAAGGGCAAACTGCCTTAGCAATCCTGTTTAAGTGGTCACYCTAGGTACCACTAACGTATGGAGAGTTGGCGCCACAAGCAGCCCGACTCATGTTTCACTAGCTGAACRGAGTACTTTTAGATACTCCTGACGAGGTTGGTCGTGCCATAAGAAGCACGGGCTAGAAGGAAGACAAATGTTTTAGTGATACTTAGTTTTAACTTGATCAMATTTGTCTTCTTTTTCTTTCAGATGGTTATGGGAACCACGAAACTATTCCTTTTAAACAATCGTGATGCGGCAGCAGAGAGAGTTGAATTCCAAAGGCGTGATGAAGTGAGGGTAGAAAGGGTAGGCCGACTTATTTATAATCCCTCAGAATTATATTCTAAGGAGGACGTTCCGCGATTTTGGGGTGGTAGCGCGCAAAGACCCCCCAGACGACTTGTTTTCGGGAGTAATAACGGCCAGGATATTCTTCATTACGAATTCGCACCTCCATTGCCTGAGCRTCACTTCGTCAACWTGAACCTGGTGGTATTGCASCCTTATGAAATCAACACACGAGTGGACGAAATCCATGAAATAAGGTTGATGTACGTACGTTACGTKYTTTGGCTGAACGAGCGACAAGGCCYATTTTTTGGCATATACTATGTGGAGYGGATACGTGCCAATAGGTACGCAATAATAGGGGCTGATGCATTATATGACGATGAATTGRAAAATGAAGCGGAAGAACTCGAGGAGTTTTTACGTAACTGATTTGAATTCGTTCTAATACGCAGATGCCTGGAGCACGACGAGACTTGACGATCCCGAGGTATCTGCTGGTTCGTGATACACACGAGGAGGATCTCATCAGGAATGCGGCATGACTTTTACGAGTACGGGATGGATCTTCTATCGACTGGTTCGGCTTCATTGGACTATTGCAAAATGAGGAGGGATTTTTTCCTACTACTCGCGCAGATTTCCGAGCCAACGCGGCTCGGACTCCCAACGAGCTTTACGGATATACTTTGTATTTCCACCGCGCGAGTAACCTCCAATGTCTTTCTCGAGTCATTGTGAGTATCAAGATTACCTCGTCAGGTAGGCKTTTCGGCATCGTCCGCATCCGGGACACAGAGACTCGACATCTGTTTGGACTTAGTCGACCTCTCGGAGTTATAGTTTGGAGACTAGCCTCTCAGATGGCCTCCTTCTATAATACTCGGACTGTTAGAGTCATGCGATGTGGACGAAGGTCTACTTTGATTTTCAACGGCGACGAGCTGACACGTTTGGATTTATTGGAGACACAGGTGAGCGGCGGGCGAGATATTTACCAGGATTAGACATCGTCTTCTGAAATCTTACTCAGATTTCAGAAAACACTTCGCATGGCCTCAGTCCCGTTGAGGAAACCATATAACTTATGGTTTCACGAGGTAATATAAAAACAAAAACAAAACACTTCATGTAATTAGGACCGCCGGATGGATAGTATTCGGATTACCCCGATGATTTCACTATCATGGTTATGCATTGAGGGGTAATCGTTCGCGTAAAAGTAAGCTGGATAAAGTGAAAAGCAAACGTCTGAAAATGTTGTCAAGCAAAGCAGCGGAAGATGAAACACTTCTGCATTGCGTAACTTGGATAGATACTTTATCATTCGCGAAAACAGAAAGAGCAATTATTATCCAGGAGGAAAAAGCGACTAACAAAAAGTTGTCACTCACTCCTCTAAGTAGTTACATATAGCACTAAGGTATGGTTGAACCGAAAGTTCAAACATCGACCGAGAACCTGATCACTTATTGATCTGCATGGTGTCAGTGATACTTATTTACAAAAGCTATTCATGACAAGTTTTCAGTAGTCATGATAGGAAAATAATTTTAGTTTATTTCTTTAAATTAATAATCTTGGAACGACAATATAAAAGTTCTTTCAGTCATGCAGGTAAAAAAATAGACACTTTGGCAGACCAGCTCATCAAGTGAACGATTTGAATTGTGTGATTTTGTTTTTTAGTATGGGAATTCTTGTTGTTTGATTGCTAGGGACTAAGGATCGTTTTCACGTTTAGTTGAGAATGTCCTAGTCGACCGGCGTACACTTCGTACTTGGGAGATCAGCGCCCCGGGAAACGAACGACGCACGGGTTCATTCGGCGTTTAGTCAAACAATTCCTATACTGCAGCGAGACGAGCAAACGCCCTCGGCTGATCTACCTCTGCGATTGCACATAAAAGCCTTTGCACGTGGATCAGTATCTCGATAGGGATACGCCTCTAAGGGTGGTGACAGCCCCTTAGGGATGCAAGCTTATGCCCCGCGGGAACCTGTCCTGTCGTAGGGGACCGTGGGATGTATAGCTGGCGCACCCGGCTAGAGCGGCGAAGGAGCGAAGCAACCGCGTCCGTCTCGGCGGTTCACGGAACAGTATGCATCGTTCCCGAGTTGTCTATGAGAGATGTGTTTTTAGGTAAACTCCTGCGTGACATGGCCGGGAGGGCCCTCGTTTTCATGCGAGGGCCGATGCGCGCGACAGGTGGCGCCGTTGCCAGGGATAACGGCAGACTACCGTTGTCCCTAGCGGAACGACACTTGGGTGATTAATAGAGTAAAAAGTTATTTTCTTTTCTTGTTTGACCTCAGAAAAAGTCAGTAATTTGATTCAAAAATTATGAGATATTATTGATTGATTTCTGTTAATATGTTGTTGTTTTCCGTCACAAGATGGCCGGTAACAACGACAATCAGGACGATAGGAGAAATGACATTCGGGAGCTTGCCAAGATTATTCAGCAGTCCCAAAATGATAAAAACCCGAAGGTTGACGTTTCATTGTTCGATGGACGCCTCGGGATGGGCAGAAAAGTTCGAGCAATTGGGAAGTTGCTGCGAATGGTCGAATGAAAAGATGCTGCAAATGGTGAAGAGATACTGCAAGATCCAGTACAAGGAAGAGGTGGAGGAGTTGGTACAAGATTCAATGGACTGGTCTGAATTTAAAAGGAAGCTGCTAGACAAGTACCAGTTGAGCGATCAACTGTTGGACTTGACAGATTTGAGAAGGGTTAGTCGAAAAAGCTTTGGCACAATAAAGCAGTTCCTTACTGAATTCGAGCAGGTGGCAAGGTTAGTTTTTGACCTTCCAGACAAAGATCGTTGCCTCATCTTCCTGGACAATTTCACGGAAGTGGAGCAACTAAAATTGGTAAAAGGAATGAAAAATCGATATGATTGGCCAAAAATTAGAGAGAATTTATTGGCCCGGAACTTTGATCTGATCCTCTACCGATTGTTGAAACAGCAGAAGGAGAATCGAGAGAGGACACAGTTGGGAACAGATAAGGACAGGAAAGTCTATAAAACCTTATCTGACATGAAGGAAATGATGACCAGCATGAAAAAAGAGCGGTTGAAGCTTCAAGTGATGATGGCTAAGGCGAAAACTTGGAAGAGAAAAGCGAAGGAGCCTGTCACTGAAGAAAGTAGCAGTGAGAGTGAAAGCGAGGAGGAAAGGGAACCTCCTCGTAAATTGACCAAGGGTGAGCGGAAAGCCTTGAACCAGATACGAGGAGGGCAAGACACTTCTCGTAAACAAGGAGAAAACAGCAGGAATGGAGGAAATGGAAGCGGGGAGCGACAGGCTGATCAAGGACAACAAAATCAAGGTCAACAGATTCAACCACAGGGTGGTCGAGGCCGTGGTAGGAGCCGCGGAAACGGAAGCGGACGTGGGAACTCGCAGGAATACGTCTGCAAATATTGTGATATGAAGGGACATGTTATTCGTTTCTGCCAGATTCTCGCCAAGGACGAGAAGGACCATGTCGTCTTCACAACGATTCGAGGAGAAGTCTTTGACTACGAGGGAAACCTTATCTATCACGATATTGAAGGAGGAATGAGAAAGAAGGTTTTTCGACGGATGGACCGTCCTCTTCCGGTCACGTTCCGCTTAGCTTCTCCTGAAGAAGCAAACATTTTTGAATTAGAAGAAACAATGGCTTCTCTGGAGCTTGGTGGGTGTGACGAAAAAGAGTTGGAGGAAAGGAAAGATGACATTGCTCATCGGGCGCGAAAAGTAACCAGGAAACTGGGCAAATGTCGAGATTTCATTGTTCAATTATGTGTGGACATGGATAAAATTTGGTCGAACCTTCCGAATGTGTTCCTCTTTGGTGGATGGGGAAACGAGGGACAGGATGGGTGAGCACCTGCGGCCGCTTCGGCGCAGGAAGCAACGCCAATGACACGACCAATGATGATGTCTGGACCTGTTCTCAAGCGAGGGATGCCAACCGTCATGGTGAAGACGAGGAAAGGAAGGAAGACCTCACAATCGCAGCCTGCGCCTGGAGAGAGTTCAAAGGGACCTCAGGAAAAGGAGCCTATTCAGATAGAGGAAGGGGATGATGAGGAGGAGGATGAAAGATTGCGAGCAGAGGATGAACTGCTAGCCAAACAAAGGGCCAAGGAAAAGACTTCAGAAGCAGGGAAAACCCAAGTCGAGGAAGAGGAACCTCTCAAAAAGAAGAATGTGTACTCGATCCCTGTTGAACAAGGAATTGATTTTGAACAGTTGGTGGATCGCATTCTGGAAAGCCAGCGTGATCTGGTTACCCTAAAGGAGATTTTTGCTGTATCGCCGAAGCTTCGCGAGGAATTCAAGCAACGCATGACTCGGAAGAAAGTCATGACAGTTAAGCTAAGTGAGATTATCCCTCCAGAGGCTAACTGGGCACCTCCTGACACAAAGATGGACTGGCGATGCGTGGCCACAGGCCTCATTAAAGTTCAAATCGACTGTGGAGAGTTCTCGGTTCTCATTGACGATGGGGCCGAAATGAACATCATGAGGGAGAGGCATGCGATTGAAGCTGGAATTCAGATCAATCACAATGACTTTGGATATTTGATTGGAGTCTGCGGGGCAACACCATTTTGCGGGACGGCTGGTGGCGTGATGGTCACAGTTGGGAAAGTAAAAGCGAGATCGTACTTTTATATATTACCAAAGGTTGAGCACAAAGTGCTTTTGGGAAGATTTTTTCAATGTCGCACTGAGAGCATAATCTTCAACAAGCATGACGGCACCATGTTTGTAGCTTTATGCGATCCGGTTTGCGGCTATTATGAAGTGGTAAAGTGCGCAAATACCAGACCGACAAATTCAAGGAACCGGTTAAATCCCGAATCATATACCTTTTTAGAATCAGAGAAGTTGAGGAGGGAGAAAGAGGCGATCGATGAAGAAAAGGATCCTCAGGAATTTTCGTTGGCATTGCTTAGTATCTCGCAGGCAGTCGATTTTGCATCAAGTCATCCTACAATTGATCCGAGCCTGGTACAGGCCCTGATGGACGCTGTGGTTAACAAGGAAGGTGCAAGAAACATGCATGTTGTTTATCGGCCAAATGAATCTCGTATGGAGGAATCACAGCCATCAGTCAGGCAAGAGTCTTTTTTAGGGGACGGAAGCCCGACGTTGGCTCCAAGAGGAAGTATAAGAAAGTAGGGGAGAAAGCGCGACCAGTGCCAGTTCTGATCACTCGGGAGAAGGAAGTGTATTACAAGGAAGCACGCGAGTGGATCAGAACATTGAAGGAGAAAGGTGAGAGGGGACCCTGTCGGTTGACAGAAGACAGGATCAAAGAGATGATCATTGAAGAGGATGAGCTCCTCACCAAGGAGGAAACCCAATTCTTTATCGATGTTATGAGGAAAAATCATCTGGCTTATGCTTTTGATGATGATAAACGTGGAAGGTTGGACGTCGATATGATTCCAATGATCCGGATTCATACGGTACCGCACGAGCCATGGAATGTGAGAGGTCCATGATATCCGAATCCAGACGATCACCGGAAGGTGGTGGATTATCTTGATGGTAAGATTCGGACCAAAGTGACATGCTATTCGTATGGGCCATATGCGTCTCCTTGGTTTTGCTTTGTCAAGCCGAACGGCGTTTTGCGATGGGTTCAGGACCTGCAGGAATTAAATTCTGTAACAGTCCGAGATGCCGGCGGACTTCCGAACGCAGATCAACTCTCAGAATCTTGTGCAGGCCGGCCCATCATCACCTTAATTGATTTGTATTCAGGGTCTGATCAGTTTCCGCTGTACACAGCGGATCAACCTATGACGACGGTGCACACGCCTCGGGGACTACTTCATATGTGCGCGGTGTCAGGCGGCCACAAGTAGTGCGCCGCCTGAAAGTGGCAGTTTTGGAACTTAGGCACAAGGACAAGTCCGTGCAATGACGGKATTCTGGTTTGACCAGGCAGCAAAATTAGGGGGACCCAGAGCACCCCTAAGATTGGAGGTGTCGATCGGTGAGACTAGMCCTCAGAATTGGCGAGAGAGACTACCTCTTCTACCGCGCTGGCGTCTATCTTATTTCCGCCGCTCCGAGCTTGTTTCCGAAACAACTGGCCGCARAACGGTGATATGAGAATAGGCCTAGGCGTGGTCCCTTTTATGCTGCGCAACTGGCACGGGAATGAAGCCTCGGATTTCATTAATTTTAATATTAAAATAAAAAATGAGAAAAATAATTAAAATGGTAGACGGAAAGAAAAAAAAAGAATATTCTCCATTTTTCTTTTGATGGGAATGCTTTTGTCTTCGTTATTTTCGATAATAAAATTAAGAAATAAGAAAAATAATTAAAAATGATTATTAAATAATCGACTGAATTTTGATCAGATTATTTGCGATCGGATTTACCCCCGGATTATTTATTTACTCTAAATCTAACGATTTTCTCTAATTCCCGGTAATCGGGATCGTTTGCGTGAGTTACCTGACTTAGCCTCGCTGCAACCTGTGTGATATGAGTGGGTGTGCGTTTGATGATCAWCGCAGTATCGTTACTGGGATTATTTTGAGATGGATCGTGTGGCTTTACTATACTTTGTGCGGTTGCTGGTTTGGTTCCGGCCCGACAGTCAGGCTTGGGGCAGGTTCGGAACTATTATGACATGGCTGCACGGTCCAGCGTTGACACGATACAGCGGACTGACATTAGTTTTCAGGTTCGGGACAGACTCGACATCGGTATGGTGCAGACTATTCAGGTTCGGTATTGGCATGGTAATGGTTTGATACTCCCGATGCGCCGCGGCATTGCACGGTATCAACATTTTCAGGCTCCGTATTGGTTCGGCAACGGTATGGTACACGCCACTGCATTATTTTCAGATATTGTTTCAGCAACGGTACTACAGGTTCAGTATTGAACCATCCTCGACACGGTGCAAATTATAGTAGACCTCGATGTTTATTTCGAGTTCGTCATCGGTACAGTAACGATGCAGGTTGCTGCTGTGTGCCACTCCGCTATTTTTGGTTGAGGCCTTAGGACCGGTGGTATGAGTTCCCGGTGCTGCCGCAGGTATTGCTGGGTCTCCATGCACAGTGTCCGTACCCTCGCTGTTGTAGACCTGTGGACCCTGGTTTCCAGTAACCCATGACCAGCGACTGCAGTCCGGTTATAGCCTGGGTGTTGGGTCTGGTACTAGAGGTACAAAGAGTGTTAACCCTCAGCAATGAACAGGTACCGCTGAGGGCCAGGAATGAGCTCGTGGGAGCTGGGACCGAAACAGGATATAGGACAGACCACGGGAAAGCCAAGGGGAACAGGCGGGACAATATCCAGAGGCGAGCAAGGCGTACACAGCAGACCCCAACCCGTTTCAGGGAGGAGGAGCGGAGCGCCWGGCGTGCATCGCATACACTCAGTTGACTTGAAGAGGAGCATGATGAGGCAAAAGGGGGGATTCCACTCGGGCAAAGCGTGCACCGCGGACAGAAAGCACACTGGGGAGCGACTAAAAGCACTCTGGGGAGTGACTAACAGCACACTGCGAGTGACAGGCGCACACAGACGAGACGAGATGCAGGCTGACCCTGAAGGGAGAGAGTGTGTGACAGGTTGAGTAATAGATTGGCAGACATCTTGCGGACGGTGTATCTGTCCATATTCCA